CCCTTGGATTATGATACCTGTGGTATCACATGGACATCCTCCTCACCATTGCTGGACCCAGAAATCTTGCTCTGGGCCACCACAGCAAACCCTTCTTTCTCAATGTGGAAGCCTGCCTTGTTTTGGCATGCAAACGGCTTTAAGACTAAATTGTTTTGGAAAAGAATGAGATGTAATGAAAGGGAAACAAGGGAAATGAAGAGAAGGTGAAGGGAAGTTGAACCAAAACTTTAATATCTGCAAATCTAAATACAAGATTATCTTTTGATATAATCAAATAATAGCAAAACTAAGACAACATAATTAGAAGTTTATAAATAATACGTTTTGGAATGATGGGAGACTTGTGTAGGATGACACTCTACAATGGAGTTTGGGTAAAATGTACTGGGGATTTAGCTAAAGGGGAAGAAATCTGAAGTCTGCAGATCAGAAATTTCAAACCCACCTTGGTCTATTATACCTCTTTTTCTCTTCCTTTGAAAGTATCCTAAACTCATCATACATGTGTTCATTTACTAATTGTGCTCTCTAGTAGTAAGATATGAAAATAGTACCCAGTGTTTAACACTGGAACACTTTTCCAAAAAGTCTTGGTCCCCCTGTCATTTTGAAAAAGAGTGCTATATAAATATATAAGTGCCCTCTTCCAAATCCTGTAAATGCATATCTTAAATAAGACACAAGCACTTGGGAAAGTTTTCTAACACTGATCTGGAAAATTATGTCAAGAATTTCAGAGATTTTGGAAAAATAAGAGAAGGTCACAGGGTAAAATCCCTGACAAACACTGTCAATTTAGAATGGCAGCTACATTTGAAAACACAGTCCTTATGAGTCATGTGTTGCTGTTGTCAGGGAAGTTAAGGGAATAGGGAGAGGCTAAAAGGAATTTGAAAAGATGTATATGTACAAACCTTTATGAAAATGTATTCTTTATGTCAGACTTGAGATATCACAATCCTTGTTCCTAAGATACTGAAATATTATTATGAGCTGAATAAATTTCCAGAAATTCTACAGGCTGATCAGACTCTGTCTTCTCTACATTACCAAGGTAATCAAGGGATTGACTGGTGTCCCAAAGCAATTAATATAAAGCAGGTGACATTTAAATTCTTTTAATGAATTATTTGTGTATGTATTATTAAATGGATACAAGGTGATTATCTTGGGGTAGATCATATCTTGTAGCAGATCATAATCTACTTTCCCCATCTCATTTATCTAATTAGTTTCCTTCCTTATTACTTTATATTTTGCCTTCAATCAGATACCTCTTGAATAGAGTATCATCTAAAAAACAAATTTTATAGCCAGACCTAAAAAGGCAAATTGAGTCAACCAGCAGCTAACAGGAGGATGAGCTGTCAGGCAGAAGTTATGTCATTACTGCAAGAAAGGAGATCAACACTACTACTAGAGTATGAGCATCCAGAGTCTATGATGATTATATTAATTAAAAGTAAATAAAGGTATTCAAATCCCAAAAGAAGAGAAGAATTGGACTAAAAATTTTTGTTTCCTAAGGAGTTAAATTCTATATTATAGCACTGTGGTCCTTAGTGATTACTAAGAAGAATATTTACCCTGTTTAAAACAGGGTCAGTGAACCAAGAATTGGCTATGTATTTGTTATGTTTATGTTAATTATCACAATTAACTTTGGCAGTGGAAGAAGCACAAATTATTATATGCTAATACAAAACTAGAGATGGAGAAAGGAGAGTAGATAGACAAAAGGGCTATTGTGGAGTTTAGAGAGAAATTTTTTTAAATTAAATATATGGTTAATTCTTCACCCATGTCCCAAAGCCCAAAAGACAATGCTTAAGTATCAAACAAAAGATAAGAAATAAAAAGCATGACTAGAATTAGTAGAAAAAGTGACCACTATTTAGCTCTTCTTCCCTTACATTAAGTTTTGATATAAGGATTTAAATGGATTAATGAATAAGTAAATTAATAAATAAATAAGCAAATAAACCAGGCTATTCCCTGAATAAAGATAATGGGATTGAAATAATTATTTTCTCTGTCATAAAATAATTTTGACCTCTAAGAAAAATCATAATAGGGATGAGTACTCTCCAGATATAGATTACAAATCTAGCAGGAATGTTAACAAAAATTAACACTGATGAAGTAAGAGAAGATGAATTAAAGTTTTACCAGATAAAAGTTGCATGGATACTGAAAAAAGGTAGTCAGAAATAAATAACATAAAAATCAAAATTATAGTATATAAATATAAAAGCAATTTGAATCAACACTTTAGTACTTGAAGAACCAAAAAGAATTTTTTAAAAGTGTGACAGTAAAGAGAAATGAGGCAGAAGGAGGAAGACAGTGTAAATTCCATAAGAGTTGAAATTTTTGTCTTTGTTCATTGCTGAATCTCCAGTGCACAGAAAAATACTTGGCAAATAGTGGGTAGTGAACAGAAATAATTAAATGAGTGAATGAATAGGATAAGAGAGCTGACACTGATATAACAATAGTGGGGAAAAAAAGATAATATAAAAATAAAACATAAAAATATTTTTATAAAAATAAAAGTAGAAACAGAATTGTGATGGAGTGAAGAGAATTTGGGAAGTGATCAACAGAGAACTGAGAGGCTAAAAACAATAAAAGATAAAAAGATACATAGAAGTATTACAGAAGAAGGAAAGAGGGGAGAGAGTGAAACTGATATAAAATATTAAATTATCAAAAAAGATAGAAATAATATGGACTGGCAAAAAGAGAAGACTTTAGATGTTATGATAAAAGATGAAGTAAAAGACAAGAGAAACCAGTTACACTGTTTACTGTTATTAATACTAGTTAACAGCAGAGCTCAGATTTGGAGATAGGCAATCTGATACCAGAATCTCTGTTCTTAACCGCTATACTATTAATACTATGCAGACACATAGCTCTGTTTCTAGACTTTAAAAGGAGGAAAATAAAATAGGCTTTTAAGAAGCTATGAAAAGTTTACAATTTATTTTTCATTTCTCTTTTGTTTTATTCATTTGTTTGTTAATAATATGCCTCAATTCTAAAACAGCTCCACAAGGGCAGGCACCTTTGCTTGTTTTTATCCACTGATATATCCTAAGTATCTATGTGCCTGGAACATAGCAGGTGTTCAAAAATATTTCTTAAATAAATTCTTGGTAGTCATTACTTTTTTACCATCATCTATTAGACAAAGACTTTGTATTGCAAACAAAAAATTAAACATCTAGTCATTTTATTCCTGAATACTTTCAAATATCCAATACTTTGGCAATGCACAAACACAGTCAAACCATAAAAAATAACTAAAGAATATGAGTATTTGGTTGGGAAATTCAGACAATAAGAAAGGATTTACAGATAAACCTATAAATGACAAAATGATATAAATGAATATGTTATTTTATCAAATGCTATCTGATAAAAATTGACGGCTATAAATACAGCCTTTGAATACAACTATAAATATGTCCTTTGCATACAAAAATGATACGATTGATATACTATTAATAAGACATTCTTTGATTCGATTTTATTCTATATTTAGTGAAGGGCCGGCATAAACCTATTATCTTGATTTGATTTGTATCATTCTCAATTTAAACAAACAGATTATGTATTGACTACTTCAAATAATTAGAAATTTTTATTTGAAATCATAGGTTCTCAAACATGTATAATAATACAGTCTCCATTATATGCTGAATTTATTGTAACTTTAACTTAAAAATTAAAACATTAAAAAGTCCTGAAACATTGTCATTAGGCTGCAGCACATTTCCATCATTTTTCAAATCAAAATAGTTACAAAAAGTTTGTCCTAAAAGTATTTCAACATACTTAGCTACAGCACGTGACTGAAGTAAACTTTTATAACTAAGAACGTTTTCATGTAAGGGAACGCAATCCTGTCCCAAAACATTGAAAGGAAAAAAAAAAACTTATCTAAACAAATTTAAAAACAGAAAATAGATATTTAAAAATACATATTTCTGAAACTACATTGCTAGCAGTTTAATCATAGCAAATGCTATTTATATTTAAGCATAAATATAAATTATTTATATTCTAAACCACTCAAAATACAAAAATACCTAATTAAAAAGCTATCTTTTCTCTGTTTTCTATACCGACATCTTTATTCTGGCCCTTACTTGACACTCCTCAATGCAAAACATATCCGACCTTCACACTTACATGTGCATGAATCCAAGGGAAGACTTACCAAGTCCAATAACTCCAGGCAAAGTTTGCAATTACACATAACAATGGAATTGGAACTTTCAACATGAAAACACATTTTTAATTTTCCCCTCTGATTCAATAATCAAGGAATATTGATGTAAAACCTCTAAAAATTACCTGTCTCAGGTGTGGTACATAAATCAATGAGGTAAGTAAGCACAATTGTTGGATATTCTTTAAGGCGTAAATACATAAGACAAAAATCTTACATTAATAAAAATATACAGAAATGTCTGCATAGGACTAGAGTTTTTAAATGTGAAAAAGAGAATAGAATATTGACAAGAGGGAAAGACTACAATATAGACCCTACCGAAAAAGTATTTATCCACACTTTCCATATTGAAACGTATTTTTCAAATTTCCAGTCTTAAAGTCTGTTCTTAGTCTGCTACATCTCCATAACTGATATATATATATATATATATATATATATATATTTTTTTTTTTTTTTTTTTTTTGAGACGGAGTTTCACTCATGTTACCCAGGCTGGAGTGCAATGGCGC